CCAAGGGCTTAAGTTTTAAAGACTTTCCAGTTAGAAGCACCACTCTGAAGGCTGTAGAGCCTTTAGGAAGTGGGACCTGGCTGGAGGAAATAGGGGCTACTGGGTGTGTCATCATGTGAGAGTCTACTACACTTTACTGCTGTGTGAACCCAATCATGGCTTCCTTGCTGGGAGTATCCCATCCCCTGAAGCAGTGAGCCTAAATTAACTCTTCCATCCATAAGCTGTTCCTGTCAGGTCTTCGGTCATAGTAATGATCAAGGTAACTAGCGCACCTGCACAAGGAACCGTGTGGGCACGGGAGGAGGAGAGAGGCTCCAAGGCGATGAGAGCCGTGGTGTCACAAGGAACTGTGTGGGCACGGGAGCAGGAAAGAGGCTCCGAGGTGAGAGCCGTGTCGTGCAGACAACAGTTAGGGTCTGAGCATCGGAGAATGGCTTGGAGCCCTCATGAGGAGAAAGGAGATGGCGAATGGATGTCTAATGAGTCCATTTCACAATGGCCAATTGAAACAGGCTAAAGGAAGCACAGAGCCTCTCATCCCAGCAGATGCAGAAAGCCGTTAGACTCATAGGCAGTAACATAAGGAAGTCCAAAGTGCTACCAGCCTCCCTCTCATTCAGCCTGTCACCTCCTAGCTGGGATACTGGAACTCCATGGCAGTTTAGAGTTGCTAGGCCTTTTACTGAAAGTGAATTTAGGTCATTTGGAATATACTAATCAACAGTGCTGAGACAGACCATTCCTCCTGGGTGAGGCTCTAAATTTCCCATTCTTTCCATTTCATGTTTGGTGTGGACTCAGGTATGCAATGGTAATGATGATTTTAGTTTTAATTTTATTTTAAAATTATTATTATTTTATATATCATATTTCATATGTCACATATATATCATATATTATATATCACATTATATATTTGTTATATATTATTATTATTATTATTATTATTATTATTATTATTATATACCTAGGTGAGGCCAGTCTCTTGATCTCGGAGGGTTATCACCTTATTGCCAGAGACAGGCAAAACAATATACAATAATGTGAAAACTGAGTGATTTCAGATCAAGTGATGGAGTACCTGGAGACTGAACACAAGTATTGAAACCTGAGGACATCCTACAGACAGCACATTCCCAGAGACCTCAACAATGAGGTAGCTTCAGCATCTAGAGCCTGGACCTCGTCAGTTCAGGCAACGGAGAAACAAGACTGTTAATCAAAGTTCAGAAGAGCAGTGTAGGTTTGACACAGCAAGTGAGGTTCTGAGTAGTTTAGAGTCGGAGTAGAGAAGTGGAACCTGGTGCTGATCTATGTGCATCTCCAATAGATGGATGAGAAGCCACTAGAGAACTTATGTGGAAAATAGGATTCATGACTTTAAAAGATCACTATGATACACACCGTTTCTAAGAGCATGGTGCTCGGGAGCAAACGTGAGGACTTTGGTAGCTTTCCAGCAGCAGGGACAAGGTAAGCAGCTTGTGATCTGATAAATAATGAGACACACACTGGCCTTCAGCTGCGGTGAACTACGTGGACCCTTTGCTTTCAGTGTGCAAGAGCACGGGGCCACCAAAAGAGAGACGTTGCAAGAAATGAGTTCTTTAACAACTAGTTTCGGGTGGCTCCCTGTTAGTCCACCAGATAGCTAGTGCTGGCCATTGGTTAGGCATGCTGTACCTATGAGTCTGTCTCCCCTCTTGTGTTTCCTGGGCAAATCTGGGTAACATCATACTGCCCAGGGCTGCCTGTTTCCACATGCATGTTGGGTAAGATTTGAGTAGCACAAACTGTTAAGGTAGTCTCTGTCCGTCTCACTCTTCATTTCCAAAGAAGGGCAGGAAAACTGCAGAGAATACAAGGTGTCTTTTATGTAAAGGGGGTTGGGATTTGTCTGTTGTTCAGTGGGAAGATTTGCGTTGCTGAATTCTAACTGGACTAGAGTACGGTGTGAGACAACCCACACGCACACTGCTCGTGGCAGAGCGTGGGGCAAGGGACAGCCCAGCATCTCTTACATTTGTACCTCTTTCCACACAATCAATCATGTGTCTTCTCCACTTGCTGCTTCCTTTCTGTTCTGAGGAGAAGCCCTGAGAAAAAGGCTCTGACTGTCTCATTCCATCATTTCCATTCCATTAGGCCTGCTAAGCTCTGGGATCAGTTTCCTGGTGCTACCAGGGACTATCTCTGATGTAGTCCGTCTGTAAACTTACAGATGGGACTGGCCCTAGTTTTCAGATAACTGAAAAATATTTATCAAATGCCATAAGTAGAGTAACTCATCCCGCTGCTGTGTAACAGCCATGAGTAAACTAACTTACCTCTCGTGGCTGTGTAACATGACAGAAGCAGTTCACCCTCTCCCTGTTTGCTTCTCCAACAAAGATCTAATTTCACAAAACCCAAGAAATATAGCCAACACCAAAGACCTTTGACAAAACCTTATAGAAACCAACAGTTGTAGAATCTCCTTAAAATAGATATGCGGCGTATGTATAAAAAGAGTCTAAATGGAGTTACCTGGTGCAGGGGAGTGACACCTTTCCAGATGTCACAGGCTATGAAGGAAAAGACAAGAACCAGGTGTGCGCTACTTCCATTGTTACATTCCAGTGGCAGAGGGAGTCCCATAAACCCACAAAACAGTGCAAACTATTGCCATTGCTAATTTGATGCTAAGACCCTACTTTGAAGACACTTTGAATCATTTAAGGCTCAGAGAAATCAAGCTAGTACTATCCTGGAGCCTTCATCCCTGATGGCTAGTTTTTATAGTACCAGAAGGTGCTATGTTGGGGAAGGAAAGTCCACATCAGTCTTACTCAGCTGAGAACACTAAGAGACATAAGGACAACTTGCCTGGCGTGGTATGTCCATTGCTATAACAGTAACACAAGTGCTTTGAAGGTAACCAACAGCTTTATGATTAGATTTAAGACCTACTCCACAAGGCAGAACTGTGATACTGGGTCAAGAACCCAGGGATGGGCAGGTTATAGGCCTTAGGGGCAAATTTAGCTTAATGGACATAATATTAAATTGCCTCCTAAATATTTGCCTTTGTACTTGTCTTTATCTCAGCTTATTAATATGCGCTCAACCTTCATAAGATTAGCATCTTTTTACAGGACATATTGATTAACTCAGAGACTAACAACAGTCAAAGTGCATAGAAAATGCAGAGTCCTCAAAATTAATATGACAGCTAGGCCACACTACTATCTCCAAGGCTCAGGGATTGCCATAGAAGGTGGAGAAGGGAGGCTGTAAGAGTCAAAGGTAGTAGAAATGATATCTTATGCATATGACAGGGATGGTGCACACATGAACTCACAGTGCCTGTGGTTTCATGCATAAGACCTGTACAAGAGCAAGCCAGCCAAGCCCCCAGTGTGCATTAGGAAAGGATTAGCATTTCCAGAGCTATTAGTTATTAGTGGATACTAGGGGAGAGAGATTCGGTTAGCTTCACATTCAGCCCCTAGTCAGGCTACCTGTGTTCCAGAGCATGGATCCATACCCATTTGCATAGTGGCAGCAGTAAGCATGCTCAGTGGGTTTAAGAACGAGCATGAAGGTGAGAGGGAGATGGGTTGCGGAGTGTGAAGAAGGGGTGCTAGAGCGGTCGTAATAGACGGAATGGGGATGGGCTGGATCAAAGCACTTCATATTTGTGAATGAGATTCTCAAACAATATTTTTTTAAAAGTTCAGATAATACCAGCATATCTATCCCAACCATGCACTTGGCATCAGCACCCCAGAATCTATAACACTTTTATGTACTCTTGGGAGCTGAGGCAGGATCTCTAGAAGTCTTGCTTTGGTCTGATCTGAGAGAAAGGCTTTGCTGGGACAGTGGAACTACCTCTGGAGCCCTAGATGGCCTGAGGGAGAGGGGTGTAGGAGTGACTGAGGCCCACTGTGTGCTGCTTGTGAGGCCCACTGTGTGCTGCTTGTCATGCTGCTTGTCAGGGCGCCTCATGGCTGCGTTATGAGTAGCAAACATTGCCATCTCGCCTGCTGGGGCTGTTCTCTCTGAAGGACCCATGGTGCTCCACGCTCTCAACGAGTTTGTGTGACGGGAGCAGTGTAAGTCACACGCAGCTGTCACAGCAAACCCACATTGCCAGCTCTGCTGTGGCAAGGACACTTCTGAGAAAAGCCCTACCAGTTACAACAGAGCAGATCTGTGCTCATGATCAGCCCAAGATGTGTCAAACTCAGGAATACATCCCGAGAAATGGCAGCTTGTAGGCCATTCTGAACTGCTGAACAGTTCAGCCCAGAACCCTGACACAAACCATATTTATTCTCTCAGCACTCATTGAGCAGCAGTGGTCTGCCAGACTGAGCCCTAGGGAACCAAACTCTATCAAGACTCGGTGTGCCCTCACACGTATAAATAATAGCAACACAAATCTGAAGTTTTGAAGGCTTCCTGGGGAAGCTGATACCCTAACCAATGACAAAGGGTCATTGACAAGAGCTTGGTGAACACAGGTCAGGAAGCGACAGAAGCCATCCTTCAGCCAAGGGGCTTCAGTCTAGAAAAGCTCCAGCGTGACTCCAGTGGAAGTAATAAGCCTTTTGGTCCCTGTTAGGTGATTCCTGGTGGGAAAGTTTGCGAGAGGAAAGTAGTGCAGTATCTCGGAGCTCACGGTTGAAACCTCATGCATAAGAACTCCATGCATTTTGCAAACTACTCTGTGTTCCTCAACTTGGAGGAGTCCTTAAAACCACCTAACCCAATTGGTCACTTCATCAACAAGACCAACCAAGAAACTGTGTGGTGTTAATATGCTGAAGCGGGGGCTGCCTTAATAACTGGGGTTGAAAAATCCCTTTTCAATCAGGTTTTGATTTAAAAAAAAAAAAAAAGACCACAGAGAGGACAAGAAACTTGTCCAGGGCCACACAGCTGTGGATGGAAGAAGAGAGGTCTTGACAGGGAGAGGGGTCACTTTCCACTCTAATTACTCTCTTCCACAGGGATATTTCCTGGGTGGCACCTGAGCTACGTTGATGTGAAGGACAATTCCCGCGACGAGACCTTCCGCTTCCAGTGTGACTGCTGGCTATCCAAGAGTGAGGGTGACAGACAAACGCTTCGAGACTTCGCATGTGCCAACAACGAGATCCGTGACGAGCTGGAAGAGACCAGTATGTAGCGGACTGTGTGGGCCCAGCCCACTGTGACACGGGGCTGACTTTTCTAGTTGAGGGAAGGCTGGCTCAAGGAGGTAGGGGATGGACTGGGAAAGATAAATGGCTCTGTGTGGCTGCAGGTGAGACTCCTCAGTGAACCGGCTAACAGTGAACTCTTAGAACTGCTAAGACTCTCACAGCCTTGCATCATGAATACTCATGAACGAAAACCCACTGGGGACAGGCTTGCCCTGACTCGTCAGTCTGCGCAAGGCGGCTGTGAAGCTCTCTCGGGTGACTTTTATGCCACAGACTGTCCCAAATGATGCCTGTAATGATAGAGGTCAACCCAGAGTTTCTAGAAACAGAAGTCAGAGAGAGCAGGGGTCCTGATAGTGTCTGCCACGGACGATACAGAGAAGAGATGCATGAGCGGTTCCTGAGGTGAAGGACTGCCAAAGCTTCAGAAGATAGTTCTTTAGTACTCAGGCCAGTGTCTGGGCCCAGTGGGTTAGAGGAAAGCTCAAAAGGCAGCACCTGACTAAAAAAA